AGATATAGTAAGGCTGTGTAATAGGAGAGGTGAAATGAGATGTACTAGAGATTCTTAGCTGCCACCGAGTATTGTGCTCAGTAGAGAGAACAGGACATTACAGAAGGTTCTAAATGAAGATCGCTGTTAATACTTTTTCTGACAGCACCTTTACTACTAGCTATCATTTAGATGTCCATATGTCCATATATTGCCCATTTTCTCCAAGTACTTCTGAGTCATGGGAATGTGCTAGAAACTAGGTTTTTAGTTTGGAGCAGTAATACTTTAGATATTGTTTTTGAATCACCCACATTTGAAAACTAGCAGTAGCTAGAGTTCAGGGTAGAAACCCAACCCCCCTCACTAAAATGAAATGAGGTGACCTTGACATTGGCACTCCAGGTGCTATGCTCCAGTCCATATTTCATCCTTAACTGTCTATAACCATAGAGCAATTATGAAGACTTAAAAAATGATCAGTTACTTTTCACCTATATGGAGCAGGGAGGTAGTTTTCAGCAATGATTTGTTCATTAGCTCCAGTTGACTGGTTCTGATAATAAAAGGGAGTTGTGCACATTATAGAAAGTCTGAAGAGTAATAATGATAAATTTAGTGAACAGTAGTCCATCTATGATTTTTCCATCAAAAGATTTGTATTTTATGACTTTTTCCTAGTATTTTCCATTTTTTCTTAATTGTGAAGCAGTTACAGTGTTCTGTGTAATACCATGGATTTTGGAGGGGCCTGCAGCTGATCTGCAGGTAGTTCAAAAGTTGTGACCCAGTGAGTGGACAGGTCACTTTGCTAACAAGTACAAAGCTTTGTATATGAGGGGCAATGCCTTATGTGAGCAGGTACAACTCAGCTTATTGTTAGATCTCAGGATGTTTTCATTGTTATCAATAAAAGTTAGGTGAGAGTCCTCCTAACCCCCACAAGGCCCTGAGAGATTAATAAACTGCCTCCCCATTGCTGTGCACAGAGTCAGAAGTCACCCTGGCCTGGATTCTAACTCCATTCTGCAGTTATAAGTATGTGGACATTGGTAAATAGCCCATTTCTGTGTCTCATCTCAGTTATCTTATTAGTAAAATGGGGGCTGTTATTTTAGCTGGGTCAGGTTGGGCTGGATTCCATTTATGGAATAATTAACCAGTTACCTAATAAAATAATTACATCAATGAGAAATCATTTCTTTAGGACTTTACAAAAATTCCTTCCCATTCTGTATTTTAAAATGTCATTTCAGTAAGTTATTTCATAAGGTGACTGTTTACCAGTTTGTTGTAAGGCATAAACGGGATACTTTGTTTCAAGTGACTTGTTTATAGTAAGCCCTAGAATTAATTTTGCTGTTGATACAATCATGAGGACAGATTGGTCCCGTGAGACCACTAGAGGGCAGCAGAAGAAACAATAAGGAATTTGAAGTTGGGGCATGCTGAGATTAAAGAAGGTTTTATTGTAGTTGGTGGTTAGTTCAGAAAAATAGTTTGGATAAAGAATGAAATATACCTCTCTGAAAATCTGCTCTTTGGTCTACAGATTGTCTCTGACAGGTCTAGGAATCCTTAGTGTTGCTGTCTACTCTGAGAACAGCCTGCTGTTATCTAGTCTGTAATGGGGATGCCAAATTTCAGTAGACTCATTTGTAAGAAAAAATTGTGTCCCTAAACTTTTCATTTTGATGTAGCAAATAGCTACCTGCCCTTATATTGAGAAGACCTTTAGCTGACTGTGATACGTCAAAGTTTTTTTTTTTTTTTAAGATGTATTTGTGTATACAGAACTGGGGTACAGGCCAGAGGTATGGGGGTGGTGAGAGGCTTCACCAGAGACAGCTTGAGTAGCAGAACAGGCATATCATCGAAGTACACTGCTGAGGGGAGCAGCGGGCGGGTCACGGTAGGTTTGCCACACCATATGGATCACCTCCAGGGCAGGCAGGGATCAAACTCATGTGGAAGTGACTTTAGCTTCTTAGTGCAGTGTTTTAACCTGCTGCGCCACCAGGGAGGGCCCAGATACTTCAAAGTTTTGAAGTTAATATGACTTCCTTTTTGTGCTACATAAAAATATGCAAAAAAAATTGAAAATCACTATTTCATATTACAAAGATACTTTAAATGGAATTAGAGATGAAAATATAAAGGGCAAAGATGATAAGGGTAATTGTGGCTCCATGCTTCAGTTTTGGAAATGATAAAGTAAGCTGAGTATAAACACATCTAAATATAGTGGTTATAGTTGTCTTCTAGAAAGTAGGCAACTTATAGGGGAAAAGGTTGAAGTTAGGAAATGAGCAAATATGTATTAACACCCAACCTTAGAATGTGATGTAGCAGCTAAAAGCAATTGGCAGCAAATTATAAGGTGTTATTAATGCATAATTGATTTTAATTATATGTCTCATAAATTGCATAAATCCATTAAGCGTAAAGGTGAGGAAGTACAATCTTCTTGGTGAAAAAGTCTTGTCTAACTGTGGAATAATACAATATTTTTTAAAAGACTTATTAATTTATGCATACAAGAACTGGGGTACAGGCAGAGGTGTGGGGGTGAGAGGATTCACCAGAGACAGAGTGGGGAGCAGAATAGGCAGATCTACTGAAATACACCAGAGTGGGGAGCAGCGTGTGGGTCAGGAGAGGTGACTACTCATGTGGGTCACCTCCCTGGCCAGGGATCAAACTCCTGCTGCAGTGGCTACAGAGGCTGCAGAGAGCTTCATAGTGCTGTGCTTTACCCACTGTGCCACCAGGAGAGCCCAAGAATATTCTTGATCAAAACCAAAAAGTACTGGGAATTTATTTCATCTAAAATGGATAAATACACCCTGAAATCTCAAAGATGGTGCTACCCTTTAAATGTTCATGTAAATACTATAAAGCCCTTTAGAGCTAGTGATGGAACCAAAAAATACTTGTAATGCTATACTAGAAAGCTTTGGTGGAAGATCACAAGTGGTTCAAAATACAGACGGTGTGTGTCATTCGTATTTTCTTTGATCTTGTTTACTGAAGATCTTATTGAAGTGTAATTACTATGTCATTACATTATGTCAAAATAATTCCAAGCGTGGTGTAAATTATTGATTTAATTGTCTAATCAAAATTTTTCAGATAAAAAGATTCAAGTTTTTAGAACTGGAGGAGGCCATATAAAAATTGAAATGAACTCTTATGCTTATTTACACAGCTCATTTATGTCAGAACCAAACAAGGACCCTAGTTCCTTTTCCACAACTTTTTTTTATTATATCCCTCTTGTAATGTCAGTACTGACTTAAGAGACAAAGTAGAATAGTTTTCCTTTTTCACTAGAAAAAGATCAGTATAGGGCCTTTCTTGGTGGTGCAGCGGGTTAAGCACAGCACTAAGAAGCTAAAGTCACTTCCACACAAGTTCGATTTCTGGCCCTGGAGGTGACCCACATGACGCTCAGACCTCTCCTGACCCCTCCGCTGCTCCCTTAAGCAGTGTACTTCATCGATCTGCCTGTTCTATTCCCCACTCTGTCTCTGGTGAATCCTCTCACTGCCTCTAAGCCTCTGGCCTGTACTCCAGTTCTGTATGCATAAATAAACAAATCTTTAAAAAAAATCAGTATATTAACATTCCTTTAAAAGTAGTTACCAGCAAATATCTTTAGAGAAAGTGCATACAGGAACTCAAAGGTACTTTCCTATTGACAGAAGCCTGGACCTACTATCATTAAGGAAAACTTACTGGCTTATATATACACATATAACCATGCACGTGAAACTCTTACTTAATTTAAAAAGAACCTCAAGAATTTATTTGGTTCAGTTCCTTGCCTTCTAGGAGGCAACAAAGTCACATTCTCCATTTTATGTTGAAATAATTGAGTGCCAGAAAGACTAATGACTTAATAAGTAATGAAGGGTCTTCCTGGTGGCCCAGGGGTTAAAGTCTCAGCTCTATCAAGCTTTTGCTAGCCTACTGCTGCATGAGTTTACTCCTTGGCCAGGGAACTAACCCACATAGCAAAGGAGACCTTTCCTGTCTTGCCTACTCTTCCCCTCAGCAGTATATTTCAGTAAAATCTGCCTTTTCTGCTCCCTATTCTGTCTCTGGTGAATCCTCTCATCCCTCATACCTCTGGACTATACTCCAGTTCTTGTATGCATAATATATACACACACACACATATATATATATATTAATACATATATTAAATATATATATTATGTATACATATATATTATCTATACATCTATATTAAATACACACACATTACACACACATATATATATTAAAGTAATGGTATGGGAGTGACAGTTCTGTCCTAGCAAAGCACCATAATATGTGCCTTTTATTGGCCAAAAAAATTTTTTGTTATTAAAGTTTATTTTCTATTTGTTCCTTTTAATTTGAGTTCATAACTTCACATACTTTTTCTCCATAATTGTATAAAAATAAATTACCAAGTAATTGATTATTCATTGCATTTTATATGGTCTAGTTCTCTGGACTCCTTGAAAGTAAATCCTGAGTCAGTTTGACCATGAGCCATCAGTCTAATACCCTGTAAGCAGGCATTGTTTGGGTTAAAAATAAATCAATAGAAGTCCTCATCTGGCTTATTTTGGCCAGTGAGTCAGTCGCTTAAGTGAATATATGGTGAAAACCAGGCACTATGTATGTCAGAATTAATCACAATAATTTAGTAAACTGCTAAATATTAAAAGTGTAGTCGTGCAGAGAAAAATCAGACCCATCATTTCGTTTTGGAGTTCTAGTTCTACATAATGGACGCCTAAATATAGGATGTAGGTTGTTACCTTCTCCAAACAGATTTTGTGTGCCAGGGTGCAGTTTGATAATAAAAAAGGCCCAAGCTGTCACTGTGGTAGAGTACAGAGGGAAAGCTTTTCAGAATATACTTTCATGCTGTAACTATAAAATGGTGCTGGTAAGGAGGTGCTTCACACAACATTTACAATGCCAATGACACAGCAATGTGTCAACTTCCCCTGGGTATGAGAGGATGATGCAAGACACTCTTGTGTGGGCTTCTCTTTACAAGTTACCAGCTTTATAAGGTTTTTTTTGTTTGTTTGTTTAATGTCCTGATTCTAAAAGATCATGTACTTAAGCTGTAATAAAGAGGAGACAGACATGAAGTTTCTGAATGTTGTGTCAGAGGAAGAAGTAAAGAAATCCAGAAATGGGAGACAGGAAAAATAGGAGAAGACATAGCATGCAAAGAGGGAGGGAGAGAGTAATATTTATTAGCACTAATTTTATGAAAGGCACTGTCTACATATCATATTTAATTCTCACTATATGAGGTAGCTATTATGTGCAGATAACAAAGTGGTACTCAACAGTATTAAGTTTCACACAGCTGCTAAGTAACAGAACCAAGATTCACGTTTTGATGTGACTTCAAATTGCATGATGTTTAAAATAGAATATGACAATAAAGACATTACGGGATCATCAAGGAAATTTCATTGAAAGAGAAACTGGCATAATTAGCAGATAAATTGATTTTGGAAATAGCATTTTGGATGAACTTATGCAACACATATCAGAAGACAGAGAAAAAAGATGAGGTTGCATTGAAATTCCATCATTACAAAAATAAAATGGCAGTCACGCAACCTAAGTTAGAAAAGGTGCTGTAATTAAGGTTTTAACTCAATACCTCCTGATTTGTTTCCCTCATTCTCCTCATCTACCCTGTCTCCAAGGAAGCTATAGTGACCTCGAAAGTCATCGCCCATGCATAAAAGACTGGGTGCTGAAATGTCTTTCCAATCCTGACACGAAGGAATACGGATGTTTTTGACATCGTCATTCCCGGGAACGAAGCCAAAGAGTTTCTTTATGCGCTGCATGACGAGGATTCGTGAGTGCTGCTGTGCAGCTTGTTCAAAGAGCTCCTTCTCGTTGTGCAGGTGGTTGTTCCAGTAGTAATGTTGCAGAGAAGTAAAGGGGGAGCAGCACCTTGCCAAGCAGCAGGAGAAAAGGACAGCGATGGTTGCCAAGGTGATCAAAATCCAGCCTAGCATCTTCACATTAATATAAAAAAGAAAAAAAAGCACCATCACATCAAATATTCAGAAAATCAGTGAGAGAAGTTCCTGCAAAGCCAAGGACTAAGATGTAAGTAAGAAATTCACTTTTCTCAATTTTTAACATATTGACAACAGGCTGCTTGTGGGATGCAGATGAAGATGTGATGGACAGTATAAGTCTGACCAGGTCTTGGAATTACGAAGGATTTTGATCTCTTAACTTGGGACAGAGTCTAAGTACTGCTCTTGAAATGGCAGATGCTATATAACCCACCAATTAATTACCATTGCATAAGTTTCATAAACTATCACCTTTGCTTTTAGATCAACCTAAATTTTCAACTATCAGGTACTGACCCATACATTTCCTCAGTGCCTAATGAATATTTAACTATAATAAAGGTGATGAAATGAAGATGATGGATAATAATGGCAGCGTCTTAAATGTCAATAATATGCCAACAACTATTCCCTGGCATTCCTGACTTGCTCTTCCCTTTTATTATTTTGTCATCAAAGAAGAAAGTCAGCATAAAATTTTATGTCCCTAAATGAACAGCACCTTATTATATTCCTCTTAATCTCCTTACACTTTTGAATGGTCATCTGCTGATCAGTTTTATGATTCACTTTGAAAATATCTTTGAATGGAAAATGAGCTATATTTTATTTCCAACAGTTTAGTTCCTACTTTTAAAAACTGACATGAATAGCTATTTTCTACTCTTAGAGTTCTTTTAAAAATTATTTTTTTTCAATATTTAGTGTTTATTATATAAATTGAGAAAGACAAGTTCCACATATTTAGGGAAGCCAGCAACATGCAGACAAAGAATGGGAGGTAAGTTTTCTTTTCTTCATTTCCAGGAATGAAGCTTGTGCTGTAGCTTGTGATTCACCAACAAGCCTGGCATTACCAATGTGTGCTATATGGACAGATACACTTCTTGAAGGCTAAAACATACCAAAGGATTCATCACAATTTAACCTAAGGGAGGCTGGCATGTGGAAGGAAGGGCATCTCCGTTGCCCATTACTTCATCAGCTATCGTTTCTTCAGCCCCAGGTTGACCTTTAACCGTGTTTAGTGCATTGTGCTTTGTTATGGGAAACTTCAAGATGATATTTAATATATGACACATTCATCCTTTCCAGAGTATGTAAGCCTAAAGAGAAAGACAAACCAGCAAGCTAAGAAATAATGGTAGAAAGTTTTTGGTATGAGTAAACACAGGGATCACAGAAGTACAATAGAAGAAAAATCATATAAGGGTGAGGAGTATCAGGAATACTTCCCAGAAAAATATAACACTCAGTCTTAAACTATTTAAGAGGTTTTCGCCAAATCCAAAAAGTTGAGGTGAATTTTCAAAAAGATTTATTTATTTATGCATACAGAACTCGGGTAAAGGCCAGAGGTGCAGGGGTGGCGAGAGGAATTCACCAGAGACAGAGTGGAGAGCAGAACAGGAAGATCAATGAAGTATACTGCTGAGGGAAGCAGCAGGCAGGACAGGAGAGTCTGCCTCACCAGTTGAAGAGAATTTTAAGATGAGAAGTACACAGGAAAATAAGAGTGTGAAGAGCTGGAGAACCTCAGAAAGTTTGGATTACAGGGTCATAGAAGCCTATGAAAAAAGTGACCCTAGGGCAGATAGTGAAGGCATTTATATGGCATGCCCAAAATTTGACTTTGTGAGTAGGGCACCTGGATATCATTGAAGGATTTTGTATGGGCTGGGAGTTTCATTATCTAATTTGTATCCAGAGCTATTTTGGCCTGCATGTGGAAGAGAGATTGAAATGGGTTGGAAGTAATGTCAGGAAGACATCATAGGAAATGTAGATGAAAAAGTATTCTGAGCTAATATGATCTTATGTCAACCTAGAATAATCCAACTGTGTGGAATGTGCATTCCTCATATAAATTGAAGTTCAAGATTGCAAAGGCATCCTGGTGAAATAGAAGCAGCATGCTCTTTGGCTGTCTTGTTATTTACTAGTTCTATGAACTTATGAAAGTAACATGAACTCTCATAACTTCAAGTTTTAGTAAAATGGGATTTATTATACCTATCTCTCAAGATTACAAGGATTAGAATTAAGATATGAAACATTTATATACTATATAGTATCAGTAAATATTAATTTGTTATCACTAGACCAAAAATCCTCTAATGACCTTTTAAACTGTAAAACTATCTCTTCACATAAGTCTGTCCAAGTATTCAATAAGACATTTTGTTTTGACTTTAAGAAAAGAAAATCTTACCATTGTCTATTATAGCCTAGCCTAGTATTTCTTAAGCAAGAACTGTTTTTTTTTTTTTGAGATTTATTTATTTATGTATACAGAACTGGGGTACAGGCCAGAGGTGCAGGGATGGTGAGAGTGTTCACCAGAGACAGAGTGGGGAGCAGAACAGGCCAACTGACAAAGTACACTGCTGAGGAGAGCAGCGGGCATGTCAGGAGAGGTCTGCCATGCCATGTGGGTTACCTTCAGGGCCGGGGATCGAACTCATGCTGAAGTGGCTTTAGCTTCTTCGTGCTATGCTTTAACCCGCTGCGCCACCAGGGAGAACACAGCAAGAACTGTTTTTAAAATTAAAATTGTCCCACTGATTTTTTTTTTTTTTACTTTTCACATATCTTAACACTTGTGCCTGTACTTCGGGACTAATAGAATAAGGTTTTGACAAAACCCACCTTAAAGGGATTTCTAATTTTCAACATTTATGTTTTGATAGTGACAAAATTAGCACCTCTAAATTTTAATAACTGAAAAATTCTGAGTTGAAAAGTGTGAATTTCTTTGCAATAAGTGGTTGCAAAAATAACGTGTTTTTATTACATTGTATAGTTTGAGATGCATTTCCTCCCAAATCCTTTGAAGAAATTGATAAAGGCCAATGACATTCTGACAAAATATCCACTTTTACAATTTAGATTATTTTATAAGTACAGTAGTTTCAGTCCTTTCCTTACCTCACCCCACTCCCTGACACAAAGCTGTTTATAGTTTATCTAATCATAATTAGACTTCCTATAATTTTATACGATATTTTAATATATGAGTATATATTATAAGAATGTTATATTATATTATAAGAATATATGTGCAGAAAGATGGAACTTAACAACAATGCCTAATTCATTGTTTTAAATGTAGATTCTGGACCCAGTGCTGTGCGTTTTAATTGTACTAACTCATTTATTCCTCACACAAACCCTGTGTGGTAGATACTATTAACATTAGCCATTTAATAAAAGTGAATTATGGATTAGTCTTGTAATTTGCACAAAATTTTGCAGGTTAATGGCAAAACAAGACTCTCATGCAGTTCTGCAGATTTCAAAGCCTAACATCCTCGCTATGTTTATACAGCTGCTCAGATATCACTTTGGTGAATGCCATCTAGTTTGAACTGTATAAACAGACAGTATGAGAAGCAGCAGGACTATGAAATATTGTCAGTGAGTCCAGTTAATATGGGGTAGTATACAAGGAAGAAAATCAAGAACTTACTTGTGACTGGTATCTGTGCAGAAGAGTTATTTCGTCTCTTACCAGCATCATATCAGGCGAATCTGATGAGTAACATGGAAAACTAGCCAGGAGCTCTTCTTGTTTGCTGGCACTGATGTTGTCAAACATTGGGTAGTGGTCCACAGGTGCAAATTCACTTGCTGCACATTCATAGTAGGTACCTGTCAGCAAGGTCACTGCCAGCCAGGTTAATGGAGCCACGAGTGCCCTCCCGGTGATGCTGAAGAACCTCAGGCAAGCCAGCTTGCGTTCCAGGACACTGATTTGCCGGTGCTGATGAGCACAGCTGCAACAGTATTCAGTGGTAATAGCCCACATTTGGCTTCTCAGAGCATAGCCGACAACCAGGAGGATTAAAGTAGGAATGACTAGAAAAGCAGACCCGTAATAGAAATTTTTCCCAACCTGACAGGGACATCCAAATGTGAAAGAGGAGAACAGCTGTTGCCCGCCAATAGTTAAAGCAGCAATTAAAGAATTGATACATGTGCCACTCTTCTGCAGAGAAGATAAGAGACTCTGAAAAGTCTGGCTCATCTTGAGAAGCTCTTACACAAATCAGTTGTGGCCCTTTCTGATCACTAGACTGCAGCAGCTATAATCATTTTATGGAAGCTTACTGGTTAAACTGGTTGTGTCAAATGACCCATCATCCTTATATGTTTAAAGGATTCTAGCATCTTTCCTTGTGTAGCCCATGAAGTAATAAATGCACTTCAGATTATAGCTGGAAGAAACCGCAGGAGGGATTCATCTGGTACAGGTGAAGGGGGAGGAGTCTTCAGTGTTATCTTTGTACTAAAAAGAGGATGATTTGTTGCAAAGCAATAAAATAATCAAATATGCAAAGAGTTTTCTGTCTGTAATCAGAAAATATTTATTGTATAGCTTCTAAGTAATAGGCATAGAATAGACGTGGACTCAAAAAGTGAGTGGCAATTCTCATTATCAAACTCTTAACATGGTCTAATACATAATCAATGAATTAAAACATCATGTTGAGGAAATCAACTTATGTACCATACACAAAGAAATTAAATAATATTTTTTAAAAAGCAGTTATAAAAAACAGAAAGGAGGTTAAGTACCGTATGGTATGTATAATAACAGTTCCAGAAAAAATAAAGTAAAGGTATAGACAGAGAAGTAATATTTGAAGAGAAGTAACTGAGAATGTTGTAGAATCAAAAAGTTTTCACATCAAAAGAGTGTTAGATGTTCTTAGCAGCATTAATAATAGACCTACGTGTACATGCATCATAGTAAAACAGCAGAATATGAACAATAAAGACATAGTCTTAAAAGCTATAAGGAAAAAAGACACAACCCACACAACAATGACAACAACTGCCAGGATACTTCTCATCAGGAACAACAGAGGCCAGAACAACAACACCTGCAGCGCGGGCAATATCAACTCAATTACCACCCTAGACAGAATAAAATAAAGATACTTGAAGACTAAGGGAATTTAACACCTTCAAGATTTCATTCAAAAGTGGGGCCCTCCCCGGGGGTGCAGTGGGTTAAAGCACAGCACTGCGAAGCTAGCCACAGCTGCTTCAATACCAGTTCAATCCCCAGCCAGGGAGGTGACCCACATGGCACAGCAGACCTCACCTGTCTCATCTGCTGCTCCCCTCAGCATTGCATCTCGTCGATCTGCCTGCTCTGCTCCCCATTCTGTCTCTGGTGAATCCTCTCACCACCTCCTGTACCTCACCTGTACCTCAGTTCTGTATGCATAAATTAATTAATTAATTTAAAAAGGATTTCATTCAAAATATTTTTAAAATATAAATTTCAGCATGGAGAAAATGAACTCTGACAGATGACATGGTGCAAAAAGTACTGGTAAGTACACATATATATTATAATTCTTTTATTTAAAAATTAGATGTAGAAATACTTTTTATTTCCAAAGTTACAACTAAAACAATACCTAGTTATCATAGATATCACTACTAAAATCTATAATATTGAAAAGGCTGACTACCAGTCTGGTGACAATTGCAGGGTATCTGAAACCCTCATGCTTGACATCAGGAATGTAAAATGGAACAACCAGTCTGGAAAATTGTTGGTTTCTCTTAATGTTAAATATTAATCTGCCTTAAAACATAGACACTTATCTTCTAATTATTTACTTGAGAAAAATGAAAGTGCATATCCACATGAAAATTTGTACATGAATGTCTAGATCAGTTTTATTTATAATAGTTGCCAACTGGAAACAACACAATGTCTATCAACAGATGAAAGAATCAACAGTTGTTATTATCTACCACTCAGTAAAAGAAGAGAATAAACTATCAATATAAACAGTAACAGGAAGGAATTCATAACTGTCTGAATTGAAGAATTCAAGCAAAGACTACAGAATGTATGACTATATTTGATAAAATTCTAAACAAATTGACCTGTACGTACAGAAAGCAGACCAGTACTTGCTTAAGGGTGGAGGAGGAGAAGTAAGAAGAGGAATTTCCAAAAGCACAGAAGACTTTTGGGAGTTCTATCAATTTTGTAGCCCTAGGATCTTAATTTATGGAGGTGATTCACTGTTAACACTGGAAAGTTCAATGCCATGGAAAGAATGTATTACATTTGCCAATTGAGGGGGGCATGCCAGGCTGCCTAGGCAAACACCAGATTTGGTCAGGAGGCTTTCCTCAGGGGAAAGCCTTAGGCAGACCCTTTATTGAGGTTTCTATGGGAAAGTCAAGGCAGGGCAGGGAAACAAGTCAGGACTGGTGGATGGTGGGGAATGTGGACTATGCTTCTTGTCTGGTACCTGGTCCTGGGTTAATCTGGAGCAGGGGACTTGTTGGTTTTATGTGTGAGTTGGATAAAGTGGTTCAGGGTGGGCTCTGGAACCCATGGGATTTATACTCTATCTTGATTGTTATTTTGGCCTCAGATGCCATCAATGCAAGACAAACAGACAAAGAATCTAAGAAAATAATTAAAACAGGAGCGATGGAAATGTTACTACATTGATCGATCTGATGATTTTGTGTCAGACTCATCAAATTATACATCAATTATAACTCAATAAAGCAGCAATATTGTATAATCACTAAATAATAGAAATTCAATGTATAGATAATTTGAAAATAGAGGAAATGAAAAGGAAATATTGACTGAAAGAAATAGTAAGCACAATGTAGTGAAAAGAATTTAAAAAATGGTCAAAATGAGACTCAGCACATCAATAATCACAAAAGAAACAATTTACTGCATGCCAACTGTTTTGAACACCACAATAACTTTATGACAAAGAACTAATGTTATCACCAGCTTTAGACAGATGAGAAAATTGAGGTGTAGAGAAATAAAGGAAATTGCTCAGGCCTCACAGAGATTAAAGGGAGAGCCAGGACTGGGATCCGAGTAGTCTGGCACATTCTCTTACCTATCACAGCAGAGGTGGAGTAAACTCACAGAGTGAATAAAAATCAATCATGCTGCTTACAAGTGACACACCCTATTATATGCTGGATCATGAAAAATAAAAAATACATCACCAGGAACAATAATATTTTAATATAGGCAAAACTGAACTAAAAGCAAAATTTGTCAAAAGGCTCCTTTTAACTACACTGTTATAATAAAATTAGCAAAAGTATTATGGATTGTGTCATTTTTTGTGCTCCCATGATGTCCTGAATTCTGAGGGTGGCTCTGATGTCACAACACCAGAGTCATCAGAAACTGATTACCATACAACCACTCCCCAACTACCAACTACATAGAAATTCTTTGTTTTTCCTGAAGAATCTTTCATCCAGAACCTAGAGTTGTCAAGAGAAGGGAGGATAAATAATAAAGGAGCAGCTGTCCCTATACCTTATTAGCTTTTATGACTCTCAAATACTTCACTCTAACATGGAATGAGCAGCAGAAAATTGTTTTATTTAGAGTCAGCAAATTTAGTCCAACTCCATCTTTTTTGCCTATTCTCCAGCTAAGCTTGAACAAATTTCTTAACCTCTCTGATTTTCAGATTTCTATCTTATAAAATGGTAATGATTCCAATATAGACAACTTCATAGACTGTAGATGAATTAAAATGAAATAAAGAAAATGAAAGTCATGTTGTAGTGGTATTTCTTATGTAGGTAGGTGTTATTATTTTGCTGTTAAAGCCAAAACTGATTTTCCACAGAATGAAACATATAACATAGGTACCAACAGAATTATTTTCAATATTGTAGCAGATAGTCACCTACAAGAACAATCTATAGTAATTAGTGTTTATAGAGTTCATTAGAATGTGTTTTATAGCACACATTATCTCTTCGATACTCAGAATTACTCTATGAGGTGGTATTATGATTGCCATTTGGCAGATGTGGAAACTGAGCCACAGAGCAATAAAATAGTTAGTCCAAGGTCACACAGCCTGTAAATGGTGGCACTGTGGCTCAGCTTGAGTCTTCCAACTCCTTCCCGATTCTTTCAACTATATCATTCTCTGCTTCAAAGACAGTAAGTAGTCAGTGACTTTATAGGAAGACTTTTCCTTCATATAGGGATAATTGATTCAACCTTTAAGATGTAGAAACTGGCTCTCCCTGGTGGTGCAATGGCTTAAAACTTCAGCACTATGAAACTCTCCACAGCTACTGTGGCATGAGTTCAATCTCTGGTGGGAGAGCTGACCCACATGGCACAGCAGACCTCTCCTCTCTTGCCCACTGCTCCCCTCAGCAGTGTATCAGTAGATCTGCCTCTGAAATATACTCTGTCAGTGAATCCTCTTACACCCTACCTCTGGCCTATACCCCAGTTCTTATATGCATAAGTAAATATTTTTAATTAAAAAAAATGATGTAAAAACTACTTTCTTAAACTGTTTTATACTCCTACTTTTGGAACAGTTTTGACTTTTCATACCCTGCCGTTGTCAATATAAAAGGGTTTCGTGGGCCCTCCCTGGTGGCACAACAGGTTAGGACACAGCACTGCAAGCTGGCCATAGCCGCTTTAGTGTGAGTTCAAACCCGTGCACAGGAGTTGATTCTCGTGGTGTGGCAGACCCACTCTGGCCCCCTCCCATTGCTCCCCTCAGCAGTGTACTTCATTGATCTACCTGTTCTACTACCCACTTTGTCTCTGGTGAAGCCTCTCACCCTCCCTGCACCTCTGGCCTGTACCCCAGTTCTGTATGAAGAAATAAATCTTAAAAAAAAAAAAAGACTCACCAATCAAAAAAAGGGGGGTTTCTTGTTTAACTTTAAATATCTACACTTCTACCTAAATAGAGCCTTTAAAAGCAAACATCTCAGGGACTGTCAAAAGAAAATTAAGGCTTTGCTTTCTCTGCCAGAACCATCATATATTATTAAACTTAGAACACCCATTTTGATCAAGCTTTATAAGAAAATATTGGCACCCAAATTCCATCACTCCTTAAAAAATTGCTCTCTATGAAAAAAAGTGACCATATATATTTGAAGTTTGTCATCACACAAAATAGAGGTCTGTGAGATCTTTGAGAGCTGATTAGGTCTGAACCCAGGATTTAGTTCCTATGGATTGCTGATGCTATCTCTCATTCACACAGCAATCAATACAAAGACAGAATGATGCTAACATCATTCTATCTTGGATTGTGATTGTGAAGATTTCTGATTATATTAAAACAATGCCTTGGCTTGAGAGCAAAACACCACTCTTATACTCCCTTGGGCTAAAAATTTTCAGTAACTGATGCTTCTGGCCTGACTTCCTATTATCAGCTTTTATGCCTTTAAATTACAACTCATCTTCACTGGTGAAGCAGTGTTTCATCCATGGCAAGGAACGTGGTTACAGATTGCATCCTTTGCTGATTGTTTTCTTTTTGTGCTCGGCAAAGAGCAAAAGCAGTAGAGTGCAGCAGTGGTGCTGTGTCTCCAAGCAAGGAAGAACTTGCACAAACAAAAGAAGAACAAAGATGAACAATACTTCAAAGTTAAAAGCCAACGAAAGAAAATCACATTATTTCTCAAGCAATATGTCTCGACCAGCACACAGAAGACCCGAATATCATAAAATAGTAAGATCTTTTTATAAATATACTCCCAAAGATTTTTTTTTCTGTTTCAGAGAAAATTTTTTTAAGTGATTTCTGATTTATTTTGAAAGTGATGGTATCAGCTGACTTTTTCAGTGGAACAAGTGAGTGTTTATTGGGGTAAATCATAGATGATATTAGGGCCTCCTTTTCTGACTAATAATAGTTACAAAAGTATCAAGTATTTCTTTTCTCTCTGACAGAAAATATGGAACGGTTAAGCAATGTTTGTATTTCATACTTACAATTTGTTGTATTTCAAAATTCATGGACTAGGAAGTGAAATATATATAAAATAATTTATGATGTGCTAATTTAAATAAGATTAGGTCAATAAAAACTCAGTATCAAAAGATTGCTTTCAAAATTATATCTGCTAGCCTTCAATGTAAGTAGTTTTGATTGTAATTTGTATGTAGTCTAAGTTTAGAGCTACTTTTAAAGTAATTATGTGTAACTCTTTGTAAGTTACATTTGGAGAAATCTTCAATCCTCTCTGATTATACTTTATGGCATTCAAAAGTTACAGATGTAAAAATGAATCATTAAATTTAAAGTCCTGTTAATTATTTTGGAAGACTGATAGACATTGCAGAAAATCATGCAATTGCAGCTATGGTTACTTAGAGTTGTCTAACTAACTGGCACATCTCAGGGGAAGACTGAAAATGTTCCCTCTGACTTTTGGAATCTTGATTACATTTATATGGATTTTGAAATACTAAAACAAATTGTAGATAGCTCATCACGTACCCAAATCACCTGATTTACCTATATCTAAAACCTCCTGAAAGAACTAGTGGTGTTGTGTTTCTCATATATGGAAATGATTGTTTTTTATTTTAACAGCTCTGTAATCTATGTTGATCTTTCCTATGATCAGTGGTATGAGCTTGAGACCATCTTGGATATGTACTTCAAGGTAGATTTGGTCATGAATCAGGAGGCTAGTCTTTATGGGTATTAAGCTTGAAAGAAAGCTGGAAGTGAAATATAATTAATAGTCACTCATCAGAATGAGAGAATTAGAGAATGTGCTTTTGCTAGTGAAAGTAAAAGAATTTGAAAAAGAGAAAAGGAAATAAAAATATGCCCCAACTACGTAACAGAGCTTCAGTATTGTGCCCATTTATAATTATAGTTAAGACCAAACTGAAATAATGGCATTCTTCTCTCTCTTCTCCCCTTCCCCTTCTCACTCCCCCAAACCTTTGCTTATTTGCTGCTGCAGTACAACACACAGCTGTAATTGATATTCTTCTGTTACTCCTTAGATTTGTTAGGCAGATATTACATATATAATTTAAAAGCTATTTTCTGTGATTTATGATTAGGTTTTTGGAAGATTTAAATAGGAACAAAATTAAATCAACTGTACAGTAACCCTGCAGCAATATGCTTAATAATATTTTTGTTTAAAATACTTGCTTTATATCTTTGTTTCCTAGTAGAAATATTAATGTACTATATCCATATTGTACGTGGTAGTGTCCTTAATGTAAAGTTAATGTATATAATGCATATTCTATACATATTTGATATTTGATCTATACTTTTAAATGTAAAGTATGTTTATATGTGCCATTAATATTTAGATTATATCTATTAAAATGTATTTAATTATAATAACTAGTCTACCAAAATAAAGACATATTGTCATGATATAAACCCTTACCTAAGTGAGTGGACATTGGTAGATTGAGTCAATTTTGGAAGAATGTGGATTAAAATTATGTAACATTTTGTAGAAGTCACTTTTTCTTTATATTTTTATTGTAGCATTTTATATTGAGGTAACATTGGCTTACCCACTATATAGGATTTATGGGTGTAGGTTCATACTTCTTCAGATGTATTTTCCACACTATGCCCATTATCAAAATCCACAATGCTTTAGTTCATTGAACACTCCTCCCCGCACATCTTCACCTCCACGTATCCCTTATGGTACGTTTAATTCTACAGTCAGATCTAAGGTTTGTTTTGGTTTACTTTTTCCTGTTTCTGAGAATTGTCTTTCTCCTGATTTATTTTGTACTTATTTTAGCTCAGTCCCCTCTTTTTCCATCCATGCTGTCAAAATGTTGATTTGTTGAATCATTCCTGCCTATGCTTAAAAAAAAAAAAATCCATTTTATAAAGACTATCTTCCCTCCTCATATTAGGTTACCCAAGATACCTGGGCCTGAAATAAAGATACCTCTTCCACCCTGGAATCTCTGTCTGACCTTTCATGAAAATGCAAGACCATGCAGAAAAGGTTATCTTGAGGGTGCTTCCCTGTCTTACTTCCACCTTCCTCCAACTCACTTGTATTCCAGTGTTTGTTTTTGTGTGCTTCAGAGATAATTGCTATGTCAGAGTGGAAATTTTGGTCAAAGCTCCAACCCAGCACTTCCAATTGCTGGGAAGATGGCAAATCACTCATTTCTCCTAAGATCTCATTCCTGCTTCTGTAAGGCTGAGAAAACTGGAATAAATTGTCTCTAAAATCCCCTTTCCTTTCTTAAATAGCATTCAAGAGCAGCAACAAATGAGTAACAAGAGAGCAGAAACAAATGGGATTGCTTGAACCTGGTGTTTTCTGTTTCCCTTGTTTTCATGCTATGTATGCTAAACTAAACCTAAATTACCCTAGTATTAGTTTTACTATTAATTAACTCCAAAGGAAAGGATAGATTTTGGAGATCTGGAAAAGAAGTACAAAGTTTATATCTCATAAACTTCTGCTATACTTGGATGCATCTTGATGGTCCCCTTGGCAGATCTGGAACCCACTAGGATTCTGCAGATTCATGGAAAGTCCCACCCAATTCTTTATAACATGGTTGTTGCATGCCAAAGTCCATTCTAGAACAGTAAGAATTTATTTTGTCAGGTTTTTAAAAAACCTTCCTCCATGTAAATGCATTACAGCTCACACTATCCAAGTAAATGCATAAGAAGATGTTTTCATGTTAAGAAACGTGTATTACTTACTTCTTCCCCTCCCCTCAGCAATATTTCCAAATATGGGTGCAGTATTCTCAAAAAGTAAAAATTGCTGCAATCATTAGTGGGGAGTAAAAAAAAGGACCACATGATCTCGAAGACTACTTTTGATAATAAGATTTTGTATTTAAAGAAAAGTAACTTTCTCTTTCTCTTTCTCTTTCTCCAGAACAAGGATCTTTTTGTCTTAACCTATGGAGCTCTGGTTGCCCAACTATGTAAGGATTATGAAAAAGATGAAGATGTGAATAAATATTTAGATAAAATGTAAGTAGAAGTCTTTCATCATTGTGGAAAACAAAAGCCTCTGCATTTTGTCTGCCTCTAAACACTTTCCTTGTTCCATTTTACCAGCTCTTCTAGTTCAGTGAATCACATCTTAGACTTGAGATAATTTCATGATTCCTTAAAATGGGTATTTGGATAGGTACTGTAAAGTAAAGATTTTTTTCCCATGTATTCCAAGCCCTGGACTTTTTTTAAAAGTTAGAAATAATTTCTCTTCTTGTCACTTATAAGCAAAGGATGTGGTAAAACTGAAATAGTCTCTTAAAAATATCATGGCTAATTAAATTGGGTCTTTTCAGTCTTAAGAAAACTCCTTCCAATATAAATATATGCTTACATAAGCATAGACCATCTGTGGAAGACTGCAAAAATAACTATTAATGATAGTTGTTTGAGACTAGAGAGGTTGGTAATTAAAGATGAAAGGAAGATTTGCATTTTCTAATATAGTGGTTTTATTGTTTGAATGCTTTTATCATTATTATGTTTTACTCTAAAGTATATACTAAAACAACCCACAGTATCCTTTTTAAGAAAACTCATTCTCCATATTTTAATTAGTAGGGGTTCCCTCCATCTTTTAATTTTGTCAAAATAATTATGAGATCATCAATAATCATCAGATTATTGCCTAGTAATCAGATATCTGTCAATATTTTTTAAAGACTTACCTATGCATACAGAACTGGGGTACAGGACAGAGGTACAGGGGCGGTGAGGGGATTCACCAGAGACCGAGCAGGGAGCAGAACAGGCAGATCAATGTAGCACACTGTTGAGGGGAGCAGGTGGTGATGGTTGTCAGGAGAGGTCTGCGGCCATGTGGGTAACCTCCAGGGCCAGGGATCAAATGGCTTTAGCTTCCCAGTGCTGTGCTTTAACCTGCTGTGCCACCGGGAGGGCTCTCTGTCAATATCTTGAACCTTTAAATTATGGATCCTGGAACGGACTCTTAACAGGGTAAAGATTAGAAAACCTGTATAGTTAGAAGATTTTGTTAGACAGAAGGGGAAACTTAGCCTCACTGGGCATTCTAGAGCTTTTAAAAGAGGATTCAAATTAAGAGAATTGCAATTTCCGTTAGAATCCAGGGGAAAAAAACATAATAGAAAGCTTAAGGCTTTAATTTGAAACGGGTTCCTCCCTTTCAGTAGGCTTAGCCTTTCACCACTGAAATCTGCTTTTTCCATTGTCCTGTTTATTTTGGCCCATGTGATTTTTTGTTATCATATTTTTTCTTAATTATTCAAAAGCATGCTCTCAACTAAACTGTAGGAGCTTCTTACTGTAATGCTTTTATCTGTTGTACTTTATATTGCTGCATCCAAATCATTTCACTTGTCTACATACATGTAGCTTTGAAATTAAAGAAACCATTTTTGTGACAGTCGTTTACAAAAGTATGCCTTCATTTTCACTATGGTTGTATTCCTCAACTAGATCGAAAGTTCTCGGCCTGTCTCGTTGAAGATGTCTGCTCAGCCATTGAGCTACATACTCAGTTCTATGATCGCATTTTAGTAAATGCTTTCAGAACTGTATTTCAGCCATTTTCTGTCTGGTGGAGTGCACAAATACAAATACCCTCTCCCAGGCCCCATAAATTTAGTTTCCCTGGAGTGAGAAGTCTGTTTTCTAACCTGGCCTTTGTTTTTCTTTTCACTAAATGTCAGCGTTCTAAATGATAAAACCTGCACTGGCAACAAAAACTGATTTCTCGATTTCCTTCTTCCCCTCTTTGAGAGCCCCTCCTGGACATGCCTGACTCCTACTCTAACAACTCTGCTAAGCAAAGAATGAGCACCCAGGTACCCTGTCCTATAGCAGACAAGTTAGCTAGACCCTCATTCTGATTCTGTCAATAGATAACGATAAGAAAGGTAGTTGCCTATGAGAAACATTAGACTACACACACACTTCTTTGATTTTAATTTACTCTATCAAGTTTGGGTCAGTCTTGATTCTAGTTAGATGCTATTGCTTGGAAGAGACTGATCAATATTCTCTAAATGTATTGCTCTCTGCTTCTGCAAACTGTGGGATAAATAAGGAACCCACTGCCAAAGAGCCATTTGACAAGTTTGGTTTTATTTGTTTTCCTCTTGTGCAAGAGCTAACAGAAAAATCCATTTTTAAACACTGCCAGACTCCATTAATTACTTAAATATCATTTTCAGACTACATTCTTTCCTTCATCTACAGGGGATATGGCATTGGAACACGGCTGGTAGAAGACTTTTTGGCTCGATCCTGTGTCGGAAGGTGCCATAGTTATGCAGAAATTGCAGACATTATTGCCCAGGTAAATGAACTTTCAACCTGTCAATATGGTTTTTAAATCTTTGATTTCTTCTAAATGTGGTGGTTTTCTGCTCTGGTTGAACAGGTTTCATCTATATTCCATATCAGGTGGTAAGAGAGGGGGCTTGCATTAACAAAACATTTCATTTTAGCACAGAAATAAAGCTACTCTGAGCAGAAATAAATGCTTTCAGCCCTGTAAGCACTTTTAGATTTTCTGAACACTTGGCATATGACGATTGCATGTCTTATATTGGGGGAAAATGTTATTACATGCTACTCTGCTTACCTTATATAACAGCCATATGACATGCATACTCAGTATCAATTTCTTTATAGAATCATTTTCAGCCTTTGGCTATCTTAGAGACCATTGTATCATTTTATTGTGAGATATTTTCCCAAGAGAAAGATAAAGCTTCCCATAAATGTTCCATACTCTAAGAACTTTCACTGCTGTGATATATGAGAGGCAACTTAGAATCATATGAGACCAGCTCAAGTTTCATAGATGAGATCAAGAAATGTATACGTAGGCAAAGTTCCTTTAATCTGCAGACCTATTATAAACATAGAATTGTTCATTTGTGGGAGACCTAGAAAGCTTAAATGGATATGAGATATAAGTTTATGAGGGCCAGGTATTTTGCCTCCAATTTCAAACAAACACACAAGTCAGTCCCTTTCTTCACCATTCTCCTAGTTTTTGACATTGTTATACAATTTGAAACTGATCCTTCATCTAAATCACCAAATCATCAATAATACTCCTACATAGTGCTTTGTGATTCCAAGTGCAGCTTCATGTACAATTTATCCTTCATTCTTATGGGATCCTTGAGAAGTAGGCAGCAGAATATCTCCATTTTACAGAGAAGAAAACTGATTCTCAGAAAGAATATGATCAAAATGGAATACTAGTTTATGTGAAAGAAAACTGTACATACAAAAACACAATCCAAATAAATTTTTCCCATTTACTGTTATTGCTACTGTTTTGTTATCTTATGGTCAGTGAATTATCTTGTTGAAATTGAAACCTAGATTTTCCAATTCAAAAGCAGTGAAGTTTACTATTTTTAAGAAGTCTCATTCCATGTTTGTAGAATGTAACTAAGATCCTGAAACAGTAAGTTTGAGACAGAAAAGGAATTTTCACTAAGCTAATTCTATGGGTAATGCTACAGAATAATAACTGTTTCATGGAAAATAAATAGTTGAATTACATCAATAAGGATTCTTTTCTATTTCTGTGAAAAATGCCTTTGGAATTCTGATAGAGTTACTTTGAATCTATAGATCATTTTGGGCAGTATAGAAATTTCAACAATATTGTGATAAGCAAGCAATGTCATTCCATTTTGTTTTCCTTTCTTAATTTCTTTCATTTTGTAGTTTTCCATATACAAGTCTTTGGCCTCTTTAGCTAAGTTTATTCTCCTTAGTTATATCTATTATTAGGTATTTTATTTCTTCTCTTGGTGCTATTGTTTAATTGTAGTGTTTTCTTAATTTCTTTTTTTTTTGAATTGTTGTTTGTTAGTATATAGCAGCCCAACTGATTTTTGTATGTTGATTCTGAATCCTGCAATTTTAGTGAAATCATTACTTATAAAATATTTTAGGAGGCTTTAGGGCTTTCTGTATATAAGAAAATATCATCTTCAGAGGTAATTTTTACTTTTTCCTTTCTTTTTTTTTTTTTTTTTTTTTTTGCCTAATTACATGGAAACTTCCAGCACTGTGTTGAATAGAAGTGGCATCCTTCTTTGTCCCTGACCTTAGAGGGAAAACTTTCAGTTTTTCACCATTGAATATGGCAATGAGGAAAGAATATCTTAACAAAAGTTACTAAGTAAAATGATATTCACTTGCAAAAGAATGAGACTGAAACTTATACCATACTCAAAAATAAACTCAAAGTATATCAAGTACTAAAATGGAAGTTCTGAAACTATAAAAACCCTAGAAAAAGAAATAATGGAAAAGTTTCATGATGTTGATCTTGGCAGAGATTTCACAAATATGACACCAAGCGCACAGGCAAAAAGCAAATGAGTAAGTGAGACTATTGAGCTAAAACACCGCACAGCTATGGCAGCAACAGAGTACAAAGACAATGTGTGGGCTGCGGGAAATATTTGTAAACCATAGATTTGGTAAGAAGTTAATTTCCAAAATATATAAGGACCTCTACAAATCTAGTTTAAAAAGAACCTAGTAATCCCATTAAGAAAGGTTGAGGATTTATTTTTTTTTTAAAGATTTATGAATTTGTGCATACAGAACTGGGGTACAGGCCAGAGGCTCAGGAGTGGCAAAAGGCTTCACCAGAGACAGAGTGGGGAACAGAATAGGCAGAGCTATTGAAACACACTGCTGAGGGGAGTAGGGGACAGATCAGGAGAGAGGTCTGCTGTGCCATGTGGGTCACCTCCCTAGGGGGGATCGAATTCTTGCTGCAGTAGCTGTGGATGGCTTCCCAGTGCTGTGATTTAACCCACTGCACCACCAGGGAAGGTCCAAAGATGACATATATTTTAAATGCTCAACACTAGTCACAAGAGGAATGTAAATCAAAACCATGAGATATTACCTCATGCCTATTGAATGACTTATAAAACATACTTCCACACACACACAAAGATAATGAGAGTTGGTGAAAGTGTAGCAAAAACAAAACTTTGCACACTGTTGGTAATAGTGCAGCCACTATGGGGAACAGTGAGATGGTTCCTCAAACAACTAAAATTTAACTACTATCTGATCTAATAATCCCACTCTGGGGATTTATCTAAATAATTAAAATAGAGAGCTCAAAGATAAATGAATACTTTTAAATTTGTTGCAGCATTATTCACAATAGCCAAAATGTGAAGACAATTTAAATGTTCACTGACAAATACAAACAAGTGAATAAAGAAGGTGTAGTTTATGCATTCAGTGGCATAATATCCTATCTTTTAAAGGGAGGAAATACTGCAATATACAGCAACATGGTAGACAAATCTTTCTTGATTCCATGTATTATAAGTTCTCTAAAATAGTGGAATCCCCTGAATCAAAAAGAGGAATGGCGTTTGCCAGGAGTTGAGGGTAAAGGAAAATGGGGAGTTACTATCCATGGACAGAAAGTTTCAGTTAAGCTAGATGAATACAACCTAGGATTTGATTTATAACATCATAGTTTTAACCCACATAATTTGCACTTAAAAACTTGTTAAGAAAGTGGGTTTTCATGTGTCCTCACCATAATAATTTTTAAAAGCTTAAAAGATACAGGCCCGTTTGATATAAAAATAAAAACATAAACAACATCTACTTTCTAAATTATCTCTTCTCTAAATGTTTCACATCTTTATGACCTTTCTGATGTCATGGAAATTCTTATCCACTCTTCATGCCTTCAAAGGACTGGGAAAAGATCCACTTCCACTACCAACAGAAGTTCTCCATCACCTTCACCCTTTTGTGTCAAGGGGTTGTCTCTTGGTCTTTGTACTTTCCTTCAAAGGTCTGACTTCTTCCCTCTTATTCATTTCCACTTCTTTAGCAAATTTTTTTTTTTTTTAACATGTAAGGATGGTGTTACCCAATTTAGGAGCAGTTTAATACAGGTGAAGACCAGACTTCAGTTGTGTATTCACCTGCCCATCCCTTGTTTATAATTAACAACCTTCATTAAAAGGCCCGAACTTCAGCAGCGTTATCACAGTAATCCTTGTAATCACAGCTCAGACGAAGCAGGTGTTCAATGTGACAGTGTCGGTTTCATAGGCAAGTAAGGTAAGGTCGATGACGTTTATCACAGCCACATGCTGCCGGTGGATCACAGCAAAATCAGAAGCAGGAGTTAATGGCTGTCTTTTGGACACGCTTACCCACAAAACACCGCCACCAGCCATACCAGATACTTAGCACCTATATACCGTGGCTTCCCCAGAACTAACTCACGGTGTCTGCCCCAGTTCTAAAGGAGAAGGAAAGGAAAAAGATCCCGTATAAAGATAATCTATTATATAAAGAAAACTGCCTAAACAAGTGCACAATTCCTCTGAGAGTCTGTCAGTGAACTACCGCAAGATTCCTCTGAGAGTCTGTCAGTGAACTACCGCAAGTAGGAGCAGGTCTCCTGACCCGACCCCCCTACTTTCAACTCATTTGCCTCTGAGAGAGGATTATGTAACTTCGGCATTAATAACATTTCCCGCTCTTGTTTTTCTCACTTTGCCTTTTTCAAAGGGGCGGTCATTCTACCACTGGCAAAGCCTCTCGGTAGACTTTAGGCAACAAATTACGCCATCTAGTGGTCTGAAAAGAAACCCTATGATGGAGTCCAAATCTAGAGCGCAAGAAACCCTAGCCTTGCATTTTATATAAAAAATACATGGCAGGCTCATTCTGCAATCGCCTTTCTGCAAGATTAAATTAGTGTGTTCATTTTTAGGATATTTTATTTTGTCATGTACAGTCTACTTTTTCAGTGATTGCCTCAAAGTACAATAAAAAATCTTAACACACTTATAATTTTATACACATAATTTATAATAATTTTGCACAGCATAATAACATATTGAAAAACTTTAGTAATATAGATCCTTCAGGAAAGTTCAACTTAACTCCCATCTGTTGCTAATTTTTTCCTTAGTAACCTCGTAAACTAAAAAGTGCATCTGCCATTAGCCCCAATGTACTGACAGTATAATTGAGACTTAGATCATATCACCGTGGACACATAGAAAAGCCAGTTTAGATTTCTTCTGATCTTGTTCCAGTGATTTTTCTCCCCCCCAAAAGTTGTTTCTCTTTCTTCTATTATGATTCTCTTTCTTCTATGATTGTTGTTATGAGAAAAAATGAAAATGTGTAATTTGCAATAATCACAGCTCACTTGAGTGATGGTAATGAAAAATTAAAAGTTTAATTTAACAAGCATTAGTTTCTTCCAGTGTATCACAAAGGCTAGTAAAACATAGTTGTACCTTTTTCTGGTCCAAGGTC